GTCGGTGAGGCCCCGTGGGGGCTGCCGGGGGCCTGCCAGAAAGCTGGGGAGGGACTTTTGAGCAGGGGCTGTTGGGACAGGACAAGGGGTGATGGTTTGAAACTAAAAGTGGGAGATTTAGACCAGAGAGAAGGAAGAAATGTTTGACCCTGAGGGTGGTGAGCCCCTGGCCCAGGCTGCCCAGAGAGGTGGTCACTGCCCCATCCCTGGCACCATCCCAGGTGAGGTTGGCCGGGGCTCTGAGCAACCTGCTCTAGCTGGGGATGTCCCTGCCCATGGCAGAGGGCTGGATGAGATGACTTTCAAAGGTCCCTTCCAACCCAAACCATGCCATGATCTAAGATTTATGAAAACCAGCAGTAAATCTGCCTGGCTCTGGCTCTTCCACAGCCACCAAGTGCTCCTGTTTCCAAACCCCCTGTGATGTTCCCCTGGGCCCTCGCTGCAGACTGTGACTAAAGACACTTTGTCACTTGGAGCTGGTGCTTTCAGCCAAGTTCAGCAGAGGCAGGAAATTGAATCCTCACCCCAAAATTGCTTACGTGACATTTAAACTTTCTGATCTCTGTGCTGCAACCCGCAGGGACCCCACCAAGGGAGGTTGTAAAGAGCAATTAATTTGGGATGTTAGAACTGGGAACGTGCTGGGTTTACTGGCTCAGCCATGGCAGTAATTATCCTTTGAGGGAGGGGAAAAAAAGCCCTGCCATTAGGAGATGAAGAGAGAAATTGGGGTAGAAAAGAGCAGGGCTCTGTCACGTCACCAGTGCTGGCATCACTGCCCCAAGATAAATACTCAGAGGAGATGTCCTCCCCTGAAGTCAACAGGATGACTGAGGAGGAGAGGATGTGCAATCACCAACCTCCTGCTCGGTGTGAGGAAAGCACTTAACCTCCCACCCCACCTCCTCCTGGCCCCCAGACAGGTGGAATGGGATTGACCTGGCTTTTTTCTCTGGGGCTTTGGGATGTGTGTTGCTCCATTACCTCATCTCCTGGATGTTTTCTGACCAAAGGAGCAGATGTTGCCATGGCTACGTGCATCTGCTGCTCCAGAGCCACCACCACAGCCTGGAGCTGCAGCAGGGAGCTCAGGATTTGGAGGCTCTGTTCCCCTCCCACCACCCGTGGGCCCAAAAGGATGCTGGCTATACAGAGGGGTTTCTTGGAGAAAGAAACCAGCACCATCCCCTGGCACAAAGAGCTTCACAAAACCCAGAGGAATGTGTGGGCCAGGTCCTCCCCAGAGGAAGCAGAGGGAGGTGAAGAGTTTCCAGGGGGAGAAGATGGGCAGAAGAGTGGAGAAGCCTCACGTCAATGAAGGAAGCGTTGACATAGTCAGTGTTCTCTTCACCTCTCTTCACTGGAATGATTACTCTGTTGAACTCATCTGAAACAGAAACACAACGACCTGAGCTTTGGGGAGCACCTTCAAAGCATGATTCTTTGAAGACTAGGCATGGTCTTCAGCTGGGAAGCCACCAGGCCCTAGGTGAGGGGACAGATCTGGGGAACTCTGGGTTTTCCAGCAGCCAAGGGTGGGACCAGGAGACTGAGCTCATGGCCTTCTGTCATGCCCTGGTTGGGGGAAGAAGGGGTTGCTGAGGACTCCAGGACCAGGACTTGCTCAACACAGGGAAGGCCTCAGTGACATGAATGTGCTGAGAAGAAAGTCACAGGAGGGACAGGGCAGCACAAAAGCAAGAAGCCCCAGGGCAGAGTTATCTTTGGCCACAAAAAGACCATGTGCCCTTGACTCTGCCCCATCCCTTCATGCTAGTCCTGCTGGAGCAGGGGTTGAACCAGATGATCTCCAGAGGTTCCTTCCCAACTGAGCCACCCTGTGACCCCACTACTGCAGGCACAGTGCCTCTGTCTTAGCTCCTGAGCACTCCTGGAATCACAGGGTGGTTGAGGTTGGGTTTCTGGAGGTCCCCTCAGAGCTGGCTGCCCAGGACTGTGTCCAGAGTATCTCCAAGGATGGAGACTCCACAGCCTCCCTGGGCAACCTGTGCCAGTGCTGGGTCACCTCACAGCCAAAGTGTTTCCTCATGTTCAGAGGGACCCCCCAGTGTCTCAGCTTGTGCCCAATGCCCTTGGTCCTGGCACTGGGCACTTCTGGGAGGATCCTGGTTCCAGGCACTTGTCCCCCTCTCCTCAGGGGTTTCTGGACATTGAGGAGACCCCCAGAGCCTTCTCTTCTCCAGGCTGAATAGTCCCAGCTCTCCCAGCCTCTCCTCACAGCAGGGCTGCTCCAGTCCCTGAGCCATCTCCTGGCCCCTCACTGGGCTCTCTCCAGTCTGTCCATGTCTCTCCTGTACTGGGCAGCCCAGCACTGGGCAGGGTGCTCCAGGAGTGGCCTCACCAGTGCTGAGCAGAGGGGAAGGGGCAACTCCCCCAGGCTGCTGGCACTGCTCTGTGTGGCTCAGCCCAGGACACCCCTGCCCTTCTCTGCAGCACATGCTGCTCAGGATCAGCCTGGTGCCCACCAGGATCCCCAGATCCTTCTCTGCCCAGCTGCTCTCCAGCTGGGTGGCCCCCAGCACACTCTGGTGCCTGGGGTTGTTCCTCCCCAGGGGAAGGACTTTGCCTTTCTCCTTGTTGAACATCAAGAAGCCCCTGTTGGCCCATTTCTCCAGCCTGACTCGTGTCCCCACAACCACCCAAATGGTCTCCACACCCACCACGTGTGCCTTCCCCATGCAGACACACCAGCCTTACATGGAATTATCTGAAGCACCCTGTTCTTCTTCATGTTGGCTGGCAAGTTGCCCGTCCTCATCTTGTCATTCTGAATTTTGATTGAAGTGAGCTTCTGCAGAGGAAGGGAGGAAAGCAGGGACAGCTTTCAGAGCCACCCAGTGCCAGGCATGGTGCTCCCAGAAGCTCAGCACCATCCGAGTGCATCCACCAGGAGAAGAACCAGGCTCACCTTGAACTCCTCTTCCAGCCCGTTGCTGCTGGTCCCTGGCACTTTGTTGTAGATCTTCTGAAGGTGGATCTCTAACGAGGTCACCTCCAGCTCTGTGTCACCATAGAGATAGTGCTCCAGAAGTGCTTGGTATATAAACACATACTGCATCTGCAGGGGTTGCAGGGAGCAGCCATCAGCCTCCACTCTGTGCCCAGTGAGCACATCCTGCTGTCTGCACATCTGCTGGCTGGAAACCTACCACCCCATGGCCCACCTGAGCCTGATGGGCTTGTGGCACCCCTCTGAGACACCAGAGAAGTGGGTCGCTGCATAGGGGCTGGGATCTTAGTTGCTGCACCATGCAAAGGTGATGTGACACAAAACCTTCCCCGAGTGTGCAGGAAAGGAGGCTCAGGGGAGAACTTCTGGCCACAACGCCCTGACAGGATGTTGGAGGCTCCAGAGGTGGGGGCTGGTCTCTTCTCCCAAGGAGCAAGCGACAGGACAAGAGGAAACAACCTCAAGTAGTGCCAGGGGAGGTTTAGGCTTTGGACTTCCTCAAAAGTGTTGCCCAGGCCTGTGCCAGGCTGCCCAGGGTGGAGTCTCCATCCCTGGAGGGGTTTCCAAGCTGTGGAGATGTGGGGTGAGGGACACGAGGCAGTGGGGACCTGGCAGGGATGGGTTAATGGTTGGACTTGATGATCTTCAAGGTCTCTTCCAACCAACCCAATCTTACAACTCCACAACGGGCATTGCCAAGACCACGACCCAGCACAGGCCTCACGTGCTGCAGCCCCCCTCCAAAACCAGGGAGGCTGCTGAGCCCCGGGGTGGGCGGGGCAGGGACGGGCAGCGTGAGGGGGAGGTCCCCCCTGGCGGGGGGA